AGCCCGTGATCTTATATAGCCAAGCTGAAGGATTTCGTCTTTAGTAATTCAACTCATGTGGTGAACGGCAGTTGAGGATTTTGGAAGGCATCTTTGCTGGTCAATTCCTAAGACTCTGATCAGCTCACGTCTAATGATAGAGTTTGTTGGAATTTTAACTTCGGGAATGCTAGACAAAAGGAAGAACGTGTGATTTTGCAGTGAGCCGTGTTGGACGTTATCGTTAACCGAAATATTTCAAAATTTCAAAGTGTATACCTGTTTGCCAAGGGAATTACTATTTGAAACCTGCAGTTCAGAATTGGATTCTTTTTTTTTTGATTTATCCAGATGATGTCATATAGTGGAGAGGTATTTTCTTCACTTTCCAATTACCGTTAGTGCCTGGATTTTGACCTCGTAACGAGCCCTCCTTGTGGATCACTTCTAGAATTTCACACCTTATTTTGTCCCTCTGATTTCTCATCTCCTCAATGAAGCCGTTTGAATTTTCTAAGGTATTGGACCATTGGAGATCATTCAGCCCCTTCCATTCCTCTCCTGTACTTCCTCCCATTCTTGTCCTTGGCACAGTGAAGGCAGCTTCCAATGTTCCCCAAAAATTTGTACTATTTTTACCTAGAGTTGTACTCTTCAATTGTAGTACATCTGACTGACGTCTTTACTTGTTCTGATGTAATTTTGTTTGGCATAAAAAACAGGTTTCATTCTTTCCCTAATGATCTCAACTTCAGATCATTCGTAGATGTTTCTTATCTAGACGTGGGTGGAGTTAATCGAGTCTTTACTTCTCTTTATGTTAGGTTTCCTTTGCTTGTGGAACTAGAACTCCATTTTAACACACTGCATTTATACTGTTGCTGCCATCTCAAATATTTTCTTTGGAGAAAACCAACCACCGTCTTACAAAACCATGATTTGAATAATGTCTTCTTGAATATGTATCAATTTCTGTGTGATGTAACATCTTTACAGATAGTTCGGAATCAATGCCATGAGTATATCGCCATAATTTTTTCAACTAAAGGCTACATCACAGATTCACTGGCTAAAGCTTGTATTATGCTCAATATGTCATCTTAAACAGGGGCCGGTATTTTTCTCTGCATTGAGAAGGCATTAGCTCAGTCTGGAGTATCCAAGGAAGATGTGAATTACGTAAATGCACATGCAGCATCTTCACCAGGTGAAGACATTAAAGAATATCAAGCTCTCGTACATTGTTTTGACAAGAACCGTGAGGTAATTAACCATGCAATTACAGTTTTTACTTCTGTCTAACGTAAAGGTGACCGCATGCTCGACATATCAATGATTTTGCAGTTAAGAGTGAACTCCACAAAGTCTATGGTTGGTCACCTACTAGGGGCGGCAGGTGCTGTTGAGGCTGTTGCCACCATACAGGTGAGATTTATCAAACGTGATAATTAAAATTGAATGATGGAAACTTCTCAAATTTAGTTTCTTCATGTGCCAGATTATCCATATCATGAACAAGGCTGTTGAAAATTTCATTCATGATATGCATTCCCGATTTTTATATATGATGTTACCTCGGCACGAGTAATAAATATGTTGTGTCAATTACATTTTTCACTTCACCAATCATGGTGACGTTGCTGATGTGAGATTACTTCATGGTACAGGCCATAAGAACAGGATGGATCCATCCAAATATTAACTTAGAAAACCCAGATGTGGGCGTGGTATGTTGCTTGTTCAGATCAATCTATTACACGATTATGGAAAATGATCGAACTCTTTTGGTCCTTACATACTCCATGGCAACAAATTACTACAGGACACAAATGTACTCGTGGGCCCAAAGAAAGAAAGATTGGAAATCAAGGTCGCACTGTCCAACTCCTTTGGGTTTGGCGGCCATAATTCGTCCATCCTATTTGCCCCGTACAAATGAAACATGAAAAACTGAAACGGGAGTTGTTCAGCTTAATGCTTACAAGGTACTTCAGTTTTTTTTCTCTCATACTAGTTATCTCGACAAATCTCGACAAAGTATGCGCTAGCTGGTCTGGACACTCGTGTATATAGAAGAAAATATCGTGATAGACAGTGTTCAAACTTGACAGATTCAATATGACACTTAAACAAGTTCAAAATTCTTCCTTTTTTTCCCGCCTTACTCGAAGTTCGTATACTGTCTAAACTCTGTTATTTTGCAGTTGCTGACTGTTGTGGGTTATTCACCGTGGTCCAATGATTGTTCCGCAAGACATACAGCAACACAAATTGGTTGGCCGTCCAATCACTTGTGATCGAGCAGAACTTAGGCCAAAGATCGCCTGGTAAACATTATAACATTTTCTGAACAGTTGTGTAGTACTATGTTGATTTTGAGGAATTTAGTAGCTTCTACAGCGTTGATAAACAAGCCGTTTTGCTCTGCTATATTTTCCATGGAGATACACTTTAATTGTCCTAATCATATGCATTATATAACATTTTGGAGGCTAAATGATTTTGATTTATTTGCCTCCGTTTTGAAGGAGAGCTTAATCTCCTGATTGGAACTAAAATGTTACGAAAAAGATCAAGCAAATATCACAAGACCTTCTGATTGGAACTATGGCGCCGATGACCTTAGCCGAGCCTTGCCGATGGTTTTGCAAAAGCCGGGTTTCAGTCCAACCAAGAACCGAGCCATTCGGTTTTTTTTTTTTTTTTTTTTTTTTTTAAATTAGACCGAACCAATGTTCAATTTAGTGAAAAGTATTTTTTCTAAACCTGTCCCCTATCACCGCCGCCACCAAGCTCAAGGAGCGCCCAATTGCACGTCCCCGTCGACTTCCTTAAACCCATCGAGACATGTGTCTTCGTTGGTCAAGGCGGCACTGACCCACGTTGGGCATTGCCCATCTGCAGCCATAACCACTGTCGGTTGCTGCCGTAGAGATGTCGGAGGATGCATAGAGTGTTGCTGAGCTCCTCTAAGGAGTCCCCAATCTTCTCCACACAGTCGTCCACCACCGTGCTTTGTCGCCTTGGGCAAGGTCATGTGTTTGAGAGATAGTTGTCTATATACTACTAATAAGGGATGTGTGACTTTGATCTCACTAGTAAATAGAAAGTTGAATCTACATTTAGATCTTACTTGAATCGACGATCTATCCTCCCAAGGAGAAGTTTAGTTTCAAACCATGGTTTAAATAGGAGGAGTTTGCCTTGCTAACATGCCTTGAATGGTGCACGCTTCAAGGTTAGGTTTAATGAGTAGAACTATCTACATAGCTATCTAGGCACAACAATGCAATTATCAAGGATGTACTTTACCACTGAACTAATTAATAGCCCGATGTGTAGACCTCTCATTGTGCTAAAAGCAAGATAATCTCATCCCTCTCATGAGAGGAGCACGAACACGAGAAGAGCCAACTTATTCCTACCTAGAATAATAAACTCATGAGCTAACTTCCATCTCCAAGTTTAATTTAGATGTAGCTCATTTCTTTCTTAGTACTAATGTTGGGACTTATATCCTTAAGCTTGATAAATATTATTATTCAATAATTATTTTAGTATTTGTATTTGCAAACTTATAACATCCATGATTTTATCTTGTTAATATTATTGATAAAATTCATTTTATAATTGTTATAAATTATTTGATTCGTATCATGTATAAAATAATATATATATATATATATATATATTGCCATTAGGCTCACAGTTTTAAAACATGTCTACTAGGAAGGGACAGACGAGGATCTCTTAAAAACAATAAAAATTTTATTGAAAAAAAGACCCAAAACAAGGTGTAGAACATACATTTAGCGTATGTATGTGTGTGTGTGAATGTTTGCTGAATCCACCACACCTAAATGGTGTGAAAGTTATCTTATTTATAATCAAATAAATTACAAGAATATGGAAATAGTAATAAATGGAAATAACAATAAATGGAAAGATACCTATAGTAATAAGGCAAATGTTAGATATTTGCCTTATAATAAAATATCAAATATAATATATATGGTAAACTATAATTTATTACTAAATATCCTTAACACCCCACCGCAAGCTAAGCGTCGGATTTAAACGAACGTGAAGCTTGAATCTGAAAAATTCAAAGAGGTTGAGAAACACTTTTCGTGAAGATGTTAACAACCTGGTTCAGAGGAGGCGTAGAGAAACACTTTCTTGGCCATCGAAAACTGCAGAGAGGTCGCCGCTCAGCGGCGATGCTGCCTTGGCTTCGGTGAGAATATGTCTAACCCCAAGAAGTAGCAGGGGAAACCTAGAGCAAGGGACAAAGACAATGTTGAAGCCGGAAGAGTCGCCACATTGGGGCGAAGGAGCCAATTTTGGCGAGAAGGGCGGCGGCAACTTGGTTGGCGAAGATGCCAGTGCGGCGCCCAGATTCCAAAGGTAAATCTCTGCAGAAGGTCGATGGGCTTATTGAGATTCTGTATATTTTCAAAAAGGAATGCTGATGAAGATCCTAAGATTAGGGTTTTTGTGAAGGATGAAGGATGAAGGATGAAGGATGAAGGGAAAATTGGGAAGAAAATGAAAGAGGCTATGTTTGGAAAAGGTGAGGTTGTATGTACAGAGTATGGTGAAGGATGATTTGGAGGTCAAAAGGGTGGAGCCGAAGAATAATCAATCGGCCCTGCATGTGGCAGCCATGACGACTGCCCCTGCGGCGTCAAAGCCAACAGTGGTGGTGGAGAAGAACAGTAGAAGATTTCAAAAGCCATTGAAAAGAAAGAATCCGGGTTGCTAAACCAAAATGGCTCTGATACCATGTGAATGTTTGCTGAATCCACCACACCTAAATGGTGTGAAAGTTATCTTATTTATAATCAAATAAATTACAAGGATATGGAAATAGTAATAAATGGAAATAACAATAAATGGAAAGATACCTATAGTAATAAGGCAAATGTTAGATATTTGCCTTATAATAAAATATCAAATATAATATATATGGTAAACTATAATTTATTACTAAATATCCTTAACAGTGTGTATAAGATAGGTCAATTGGTGTTGGTGGCGTTGTAGTCTTGACTGCCATAAGCAGAGAAAGCTTCAGAGAACCAAGTGTTCTTCCTCCATGGGTTCCAACCCATCTCCTCACAGATCTGATCACTGTGATTGATGCTGTAAGTTGAAATGCAATGCCTTTTATAGAACCTTGTCGTCCTCTTCATCACCTCCATTTCTTTCTTTATTTCCTCCACCATTTTGCACGTCTCCGGCAGCTTGAACTTCTCGTCCACCAGTCGGGCCAGCCATATGCTCCGTAGCTCCGACGTGTGCAAGTTCGCCACGCTCTCCAAATACCCCACAAACGCCATGTTCGGTATCATTGGATTGATCGTGCCCCTGCCCATGCAAATATAAATTCATAATTAATTTTCTCCACTATATATATATATATATATATATATATATATATATATTTGTTGGGTCAACTCGACCGCAACTCACCGATACAAGGGCATCATGCCGGAAGGATACTGAAGAAAGGTGCGAAAGGGCATAGGAAAAACGTCGGTGAGCTTTTTCTTCCCGTCGAAGCCGGTGGCCATAATGACGACGTCGAACTCCGACCGGGAGCCATCGTCGAACTCAATGCCGCCGTTCCAAAACCACCACTTGGAGGCTCGTTTTATGATGATTTTGCCGTCGTCGGCCTCCCGGAAAAAGTTTTCCGGCATGATAGCCATCTGGCAGGAGGCGTAGTCCTCAATAAATGGATGATCCGGCTTCAACCCATACTTTTTTAGAGGGAATTTCCACGTCAGATATGATTCTATGAATTTTGAAACTGTATGCCTCTGTCCATAAAAAATATAAAAAATGTAAAAAATAAAAATAAAAATAAAACATTTTTGTCTCAATACAATCGTATATATTATTTAATTTCATAATTATTTTTATTATTTATTTTCTAACTAAAAGGAAAATTTTCAAAATATATTTTGAAAATAAATAAATAAATATTTTACTAACGCTCTTATTTTTATTAAACACAAAAATTTGTATAAATGACATAACATCTCAAACTAGTTCAATCCACTTCAATTATGAACTCAAATATAACTGGTTTAGGTAAAAAAAATGTCTCATCCCGACACAACACAATCCATGAACACAAAAAAAGAGAAGTAAAATTCTCAATTCGAATATAACTAAATTAGGTAAAAAAAGATGCCTACCTCGAATATTATTGGGTTAGGTCAAGAGGATGTCTCATCTCGACCCAACACGATCCCCACAAACACAAGAAGAAAGAGAGGAATAAAATTACCAATTCGAATATAACTGGGTCAGGTCGAAAAATGTCTCATTCCGACACAACACCATTCATGAATGAAATAGAGGAGTAAAATTACCAACTTAAATATAACTGAGTTAGGTGAAAAAGACGCCTCATCCCAACACAACACAATCCCCACGAACACAATAAAGAAAGAGAGGAGTAAAATTCCCGACTCGAATATTAACTGGGTTAGGTCAAAAAAACGTCTCATCCCAACACAACACAATCCCCACGAACACATAAATGGGTTAGGTCAAAAAGACGTCTCATCCCGACCCAACACAATCCACGAACACAGAAAGAAAGAAAGAAAGAAAGACACAAGTAAATTTTACCATGGGAGACAAGAAGAGGCACATAAGAGACTTGAGGAAGCTCTGGTTGGGTCTTTCATGGAGGAACTGAGAAGACCTTGTGGAGAAGAACATGAAGAATGGCAAACCCCAAACCCAATAATGGGGCACCGTCCAATGCAACCCTCTCACCACCATCGTGCATGCCTTCCCTTCTTCACCTTCATTAGCCTCCGCACATTCCACAGCCAAATCAATGGCTGACTTCTTGTACCCAATCACTGCAACCCTCTTACCCTTAACCACCTCACCTGCCTCTCCCTTCCCAAGCTTGCAATAATCCAGTGAATGCATCACCTTCCCGGCGAATACCTCCGGCCCCTTCCCGCTCGGAAACTCCGGCACCATCGGCACGTCCCCGTACTTCCCCATGCACATCACCACCATCTCCACCTCGTATAACTGCACCCCACCCCATTTAAATATTTGTCTATAATAAAAGATTATATAGTAAACTGTAATTCAGTTAAACTAACCTGAATTGTATTAGACAGAGTATCGAGAACTGAGATTTCCCATACGGGATGACCTGGGAGCATCGGTCCAAATTCGTCGGGGTTTCCATTGAGGGTGTCGCTGCCGATGAATCGAATAGCGACGACTTTGGAATTGAATCGAATGAAACGGAGGAGATCGAAATGACGAACGTAAGAATTCAAGTACTCGAGAATCTCGAGATGGGTAGGGAAATTGATGTTGTCCCTATCCGGCCAAGGAAAATCGGCGAATTCGTAATCGGAACGAAGCGATTGAAGCTTAGTTGAAGCGTAAGAACAGTGCTTCCAAACGCCGCCGATGCAATCAGACGACTCAAAAACGACTGGCCGATGGTGGGCCAGCTGCTTGGCGGCAGCGACGCCGCTAACTCCGGCGCCGACAATGGCGATTTTGGAGAGAATTGGAGACATTGAGGATTTGAAAGTTCGGTGTGAGTTGGGAAATGAAGAGGATGAAGAGTCGTTTATATAGGAAGTTGGTGGCACGTGACATTGGAGTTATGCACGTGAATATTAGAATAATAATAAATAAATAATCATTATTTTTATGAAAAACCTTGAAGTTTGATTATTATAAGATTATAATCTTCAAAATATTTGAAGTCGTTGGTCTCCATTGAATTTCTTTGGATATTCGTGCTTTATATTTAATTAAAGGGAAAATAAAATAATTTAGGTAAAAAGTAAAAAAAAAAATTACTATGGTAATTAATTAAACTACGTCCAATTTTACAGTTTTATATACCATCATTTTCGTCCATTTAAACACAATTCAACTTATTAAAATATATATTATTTACTAAAAATGAAAAAAAAAATTACGTGGGTTGAATTTTAAAAAGAAGAAAACACACAATTTTTTTTTTATATTTAAAAAAAATTAAGAGAAAAGAAAATAAATATATAAAAATGAAGAAATAGATGCATGAACCTATGACAAAAATAAAATAATAAAAAAAAAAAAGACCAAAATTATATAAAAGTTAGAATAAAATGGCCTAATTGGTGGAAATAGGAAGCATTCTAGAAAACTAAAGGAAATAGCTAAGAATTTGAATTGAAACTTAACCCAAATTCCACTAAAACATTTGTTCCTCTATTTATTTATTTATTTATATATATATATATAGATATATGAATACGTACGTACACACATATATATATATATACATATACGCAAATACGAGCAAAAGCTTTAGAGGTAGAAGAACGTAATATTTTATAAATAATAAATATATTATAAGTTATTATATAATAACTTATATATATATATATATATATATATTAAAGGATTTTTTTTTTTTTTTTTTTTTTTTTT